GGGGGGGGCGGGGCGAAAGCGGGTAGTCCTTACCCCTGTCCTTTATTGACAGAAAACTAATCAGACAAAAGACGCACCATTGGCATTGCAACTTATTATTCTTGATTAATTTCAGATGGTAAGTCAGAAAATTTTGCGTTCAGTAAATGCTCTGAATTTCATATCGTTCCTTTAATCAAATCCGATAGTGTATATCAGCACTACCGTGGTCGTGTCATTTTCCGTTGAACTTTTGTTTACTGTTTAATGAAGTTTGTTCTGACTTTCTTGCATGCCCTTCGCAGTGCAGCGCTCATCTTCATTTTGATTCCCTCATCCAAGGTTGCTTTGTTTTCGAATGCAAAAATTTTTTTATGTGACTGGCTGGTATGGCGAATAACGTTCATTTCCGTCCCTCGCACTGGTAGTGATTTATTCATTTTGCATGATGAGACGCGGTTAAATCGGCTGCAGTTTGTTCGCATGCCAGAGTTTATCTAAGCTTACCAGAACGTTTAAAATTTTCAGTTTTTTTCGTGACCATTTAAATATCAGCTCTTACCTTCATACTTAAACCATCACAACCGTCGACGTGTGATTGTATTCATTCAGCCATAGCAACTTATGGCAATGAGTAAGTTATGTCTGCAGAGCACCATAGCGGTGATCTGGATTGGTTGGTAAGGATACCGCAGGTAAACTTTCCTGGCTCCTTCTGGAAGGTCCGCAAGGAAGACGGTCCAAGAGCTGACCGCGGACTAACTGGCTCGATTTTAAACAAGTCGTGGCATTACCACGTCTTGAGGCCGTCTGTTTGGCGCCGGGTCAGGTTGATTGGAAAGGCCTCCTGAAGCAGCTGTCTTTGCTACCCGAAATAAGAACGTTCTTTCAAAAAGGATTGAATAAATGAATAAGTTAAAATCTCAGTGTTTTTTGACGTCACGGTTAATTTGTATTTGCCACTGCTGATATTGTTTTGAAAAATATTTGGTGGTATGCATAATTTCAAACTGATGTAGGCATTTTAGAGCCCGCCTTTTCATATGCTTCGTATTTTCAAGTTTTCTGCTAGTCTGCTGAATCCCTTGTTTCCAGTCGCACAGCGTTTCGCTTGGGTTTGCTGTTCCGCGAATGCTGTAACGTATGCGGTGTCAAACGGCAGTGGAACAGTTGGCAGTGATATTGATGCTGTTCGCACAACTGTAGGCGACGGTGGCGATGGCGACGATGACTATCTAATCGAGGATGCAGATTTTCTCGATCAGAATATAGACATTCTATCAGAATGTAGCGGATTGACCGCGGAACGTGACAACCTCCGTTCCACTGTTCAGCCGTCGAACGGAGTAGGCCCATTTCAGCCTAAGTACAAATCAAAAGTTTTCTTGAAATCTTACACCCTGGCTCCTTTCGTCAACGAGTCGGAGTTGCTGCGAAATCTGGTGGATATGGGCGTGGACTTGTCGCAATTAGAAGTGAAGTCAAATGTCGCTGATTTTCTTATCAAACTGGACTGGCAAACACAGGCGAAGACCTATATCCGGTTTTTGGTTCGCCACGGCATACCAATCAACGAACTTGGCAGTTACATTACTCGTAATCCGTGGATTTTCCAGCAGGACATCGAAGATTTGCAGGTGCGCATAAATTACCTCGAATCGAAAAACTTTTCGAAAGAGGCGATTGCGAGGATCATTCTGAAGGCGCGCTATTGGTTGAATTCGAGCGTGAAAACGATCGATAGCCGTCTTGGCTGGCTCCAGAAGGCGTATTCGCTGACAGGTGACGAAGTGCGACTAGTGGTAACTAAGCAGCCTAAAATTATTGCCTTTGGTATTGGCTATCTGCAGGTATTCATAGACTTTTGTTCGTTTTCATCCATTTTTCCCTATTTAGGTAATAGAATTTTCTTTCAAAGAAGAAATGGGATTCAGCAGAGCTCAGATCAAGCAGCTACTGCTGAAGGATCCGAAACTCTTTATTACAGGTACCACATGTGCTTAGTTTGTGATCACCGAAATGCTTCCTAAGTTTGTCCGTAATTGAGATTATGTTAATGCGGTGTCAGAAATCCAGTTTGTCACCATCATGTTCAAAGGTCAGTGGTAACTGTTTCAACGCTAATTCTAATGAATTCATGGTTGAAAACGTCAAAACTGTCTCAAAAATTTGATACCTTTGTTTCAAATAGTTTTAGTGACTTCGGCCCGCAGAATCTTATTTCGCGGATGCAAATCAGAAAGTGCTATATGAGTTAGAGCTTCTGTTGCTTGAATAGAATCACTTAGCACAATTATTGATCCAATTAGCTGTATGGTGTCGCATGGGAAGGGGGCTGGATCCGGCAAAGTACGTTAGGCTAAGCCGGATGCAATGATAACATATGATGTAATGTTCGATGGCGATTACAATGGCAGTGTACGGCACCGTGACAGCGATAGTTAATAGTACATGCACTCTAAGAATCCTCTGTGCGGGTATGGATCCATTAGGATGAACTCTTTTCTCGCATCACAAACGACCTGCAGAAAGCAATCCTATATATCATGCGCTTGGTAGACGATTTACTACAGTGTAACAAAAGCAAAGAATGGGCCAAAACGACGAGTGGAGAACAGTCATTAAAGAATGGCGTCGCTTCACTAAAAACAACATGATTTGTAGTGAGTTGTTCCGGCAAGGAAAACAAACGTATCGTCAGTGTTTCAGTAAGGATGACGGGCCAATCTGCTGCTTTAAACATTTTTTATTTAAGTTTCATGGTTCCATCGTACAGGACAACTTGGAAATCAAGCACGAATACCAGTTGATGGAAGAAAGCCATAAGTCAAATTAGAAGAGTTTGAGCTGTGTTGCCAGTGAATGAGACGATGCTCATGAAACTAAAAGCAAATGTCTACAGAACAGTAGTAAAATCTGTGCGTCTGTGCAAAGCAAATCGTTTGACCACAGTAGACTGAGACAGGCTATAAATGATTTCCGAACAAATGCTAATGCTGAAGCAAATGTATCATGTAAATAAGGACTACTAGATCCTGCATACCTTCATACAGGGCACATTAACTGTGTCCTCAGTACGAGAAATGCGCTTCAAAAGCGGTCTTCTTTAATTCGGTCATGTGAAAGTAAGACCTGATAAGTACGTAAGAAATGTGGCCCAAACGCTGACGC